CTTCTTAATTTTACATAAATATGAATTATAACATTCCTTATTTAATGCAAAGTAGCTATGCCGCAAAACTGAGTACTTTACGTAATCACTGTGTAAGCCCGTTCTTTTATACAGTTTAAAAGAATGTGACTTTTTATTTTTCAAATTTTTTAAGCTCTTTAGTGAACCATAATTGTATTGGTTCTTCATGAACAATATTACGTTTTGGCACATACTTTCGAAACAAATTGAAAAGAGTATCATTAAAGTGCTCAACGCTACGCTCCACGTCATCTCTATATTTTGGCCAAGATAACTTTGAAAGTTCTTTATTAATTTTCCTGAAATTTTCTTTCGCAAAAACATATCTAGTACTTGAACTACACGACTTATTATTATGTATTTCATTTATGATTTCGTAGCTTAACTCAAGAGCGGGATGGTATGCATCCTCTGGCAAAACTAGGGGATCACATCGATTAATAGATGCCTTCGGAACATCATCAACGTAAACGAGATCCAAGACCTTTCCAAACTTATTTGGACACATATTTATTTGTTTGAGGCAAAGTTCAGCCATTTCCTCCAGAAACACATTGTAGCTATCTCTAGATGAAACTGGTACAACAGCGGTGTCAATGATGTTCCATGAAATGAGTGGCAGATTTAAATCGCCCAAAACAATCATAGAATCGGATGCCGTAAGCATTGCATTTACGGTCTCAAGTAAAGAAACTAGCTGCCTTTATACTAATACTGCAAAATTAGGAGGGATGTAGCAAAGAGCTAAATAAATATAAATCTTTCCAGCCTGTACACGTATACATTTAAATTCGGTATATTCAATGGCAGGAACACTAACTTCCTCGGATGGTATAGATGAATGCACCGCAAAAAGAACACCACCGCCGATTCTGCCCTCGCGGTCACTCCTGTATATCTAACGTTTTGATAGTAAATACTTAAATTAGACTTGCGAGTTAGTTTTTTTAGTCCGAATTAAGATTATAAATTTTAGCTACGTTGTTATTACTTTTATTAGGTTTATACTCAATCTCGCGAACAAAATGAACTATTTAGTAGTGAATCAAAATCTTCGGAAGCTACATCAATTTTAAAAGATGAAATATCGCGATCGTATTTAAAATTAAATTTACGAATAAATACATATTTAGTTCTAATTTTAGTCGATATGTATGACTTTATATCATCCGAAGAAGTATCTTTAGCAAATCTAGAGACAAAGATTGATCTTCTCGGAGGAATTATAACCAACTATTTGGTAATGATGTCTGATGTGCAGGGCTCCGAATTATTCGGAGGAACTAAGTTAGACAGTGCAGCTTCAGATGTTGATGGCAACACTGTTAAATCAACGGTTTGACTATTTTTAGATGTAGACCTAGTGGATATGGCTTTAGATAGCGGAGGTTCCAATGCCTGAGACATGGTGAAGAAATATTCATAAGTTCTAAGGACTGGGATGGAGGATTTTTCTGACTAGATTCCGTGGCTGTCTTTTTAGGTGGACTAATAACACGCCTACCTTTATTTCTCGGCTATCCTCAGAGCGTGGAGGGTTGTCGAGACATGTGAAAGACTTAAACAGTTTTTCGTAATGCTTAAATTTCTCAACAAGCACCGACAGATCCTTCCCGATCTCAGAAAACCCATTTCTGGACTGCCTAAAGAATTTAAATAAATCAACTTCGGTTGATCTACATTTTTGACAAGACCAACGAAAACTCTTTCCCTCGTTAATAGCATCTAATACCCTACCCCTTAAACCTGCAAGTTTTATATGGGCAATCCCATCGCAGAGCCAGCATGAAACGTAGGAGTCGCTTTTAACGTGGCAATTGGTGTAAATACACGACATGTTTAATATTATATTTATTTTTCGGTTTTAGAAGCAAAAAAAACAAAACAGTTTTGAAAACGATGTATCAATCAGAGAACCAATCAGCTGGTGAATATCAGTTGGAAAGCTATGTAGCGAACAGTTTTAAATGCACTGTATATTTGACACCTAATAAACACAACGCAACCAGCTTTGGCAAAGATGAAACAGCCGAAATTACAAAAAGACAAAAAGAGCAAACTCAATGTGCACAAACAAAAACAATTGTACAACAACAACATATTATATGAAACAAAGTACTCGGCACATGCAATTAAGAATATCAAGTTAAATTAATCAAATTTAAAGGAAATTTTGATATTTTACTTATCTTTAAATTGTGCACCAGAAGTTTATTAACACTTTTTTTTTAATTTTTTACTTTATTAAGCGTAAACAGCTTTATAAAACACAAAATTTAAACAGATCACAAAAAACCACAGCTTCACAGCTTTGACGTTTGCGTAATTATTTAAAAAGCTATTCCTTAACATTTTTCCATAGGAAACATTTGATTAAAAAATATTTTTAACTTGCCATTCATACTGATATGTATTTTGAAAGCCGTTTTTTCCGTTTTTTTTTTTCTAATCGAAAAACTCGAGAACAGCTGTACCGATATTTTTGAAATTTTGGACATCGACTCTTGACCCTCAAAGGATGATAATAGAAGAAGAATAATTTCTATATAACAATGGGCGTGGCACCTCCCATACAAACTATAGTTTTCACACAACATATCTCTGGAAGTATTCATCGTAGAGTGCTGCAACTAAGTACAGAGATATATA